TGTAGCAGATCCTCCACCAACCTAAATCCAATTGTTCAATCGCCAGATCATCATAGTGCTCTGTACGATGACAATGTGTTGGAAGGCGAGGCTCCATCCACACCATCTCCAAGCAGGTCTCCAATGCCGCAGCCGCCACCTCCAAGGAGGTCTCCAACGCCGCTACCACCACCTCCAAGGAGGTCTCCAACGCCTCCCCCACCCCCGCTTACCAAGAAGCCAAGTTCTAGCAAGAGGCCAGCCCCGCAAACGAAGAACCAGTCCCCGCCGGCAAAGAAAGCCACCGTGAAACCAAGGGCTATTCCCAAAATAATATCTGAAGAGGAGGAAGAAGTAACTGATGCATATAAAAAAGATATGTCCAGATTCTATGACAAACTTAAAAAGGATCAAGAAGCAAGGAGAAACCTAGAGAAACCATACTTCTTCATAGCTCCAGATATTCTAAGAAAAAAGGTGGCTTCTTACCAAAGAACAACAATGGAATCTCGTAAGTCGTCCAAAGCAACGTTAACGGACTATGACCGCACTCTCACCAAGTCAATTGAGGCGCATGAAAAAGAAGCGGGCAGGAAATGAGTTGCAATAACTTCGGACAACAATCGCACTGATCCATCCCCCACGCTAGTTGTTGGTAATGAATATGGTTCGAATTTAGGATTAATGCATCGTGCAAACATACCTCCGAATATCGATTTGGATCACCTTGGTGAATTTATTGAAGAGACCTGGTCTCGACCTTTACCAGATGTTTGGTGATGGAAACATTGAGAGAGCGGCGGAGGTTGATATTTGGAAGAAAAATTTGTACTAGGCCGAGTCTATACAACCCTCAAGCCTTAGGTGATCCGGGGGACGCAAATGTACCGCTAAACAAGTGGTACATGCAAAGGCGTCACCGGTGGAGACTTCTGCGTTGGTGTCGTAATTAGAGACGAACATTGGTTCCGTATGGCGATGATGTTATGTATGTTGACTTTGCGTAATTTCATCAACTATGCCACCGACCTCTCCGGACAAAGTTATCATTAGTCGCTATTGCCCGTAAGTAATAATTCTTTTCGATCTATTATTAAACTCATCATATGTGTGTATATGCATATAAATTATCCTAACAAGTACTATATATATGTAGATTTATAATGACAGAGCTTGAAAGGAAATTTGCAATGAAATTGGTTTTGTTGATCCCCATATAGTATTCAAAGACCCAAGTTACTCCAAAGCCTAATTGGAAGTCTGAGTCAGAGAGTAACCTCATGAACTTCTTAGTGAACCAACGCCACAAGAAGGATATACTCTTTCCCTACAACTTCAAGTGAGTGTTAATAATGTCGATCATCCTTAATGGCTCATATGTTGATTCTAGTTAATTAATGAGTGTTATGCGTTATATCCTATAAACACATGCATCAATCACTGGATATTGATGGACATCGATCTGGTGAAAAGTCACTTGATAATCTATGACTCGATGAGAAAACCACAACAAGACTACCAAGATATGATAGATATTATTCAGAGGTAATTTCGGTATCTCTAGCAACTATATATACACACAAACATGATGATTAACTATATCTGATGACGTGGCAAATTTTTTATTGGCCAGTGTTTGGAAAACCTTTATTGAGAAGCAACACATGGGAAAATGCAAAGTGCCACTGAATGTTATCCCTTTGAAAGTAAGTCCCCTAAATCGCATTATCTTTATTAATTAAACATATAGCTTTCACCGGATCACCAGATTGGATGACAAATCTTTTTCTCGTAAAGTGGTGTTTGAGGCAGGAACAGGGGAACAACTACTGTGGTTACTATGTTTGCAAGTTTATCAACGAGGTCTCCCAAAGAACTCCTACAGAGAGACTCAAAGTACATTAAAAATACACTATATATTCATTTAATTATTATTATTGATTGTGTTACTATGTCTTTATATATATATATGTGTGTGTATGTACATATATTAATTTATTTTCCTTTAATTCAAACCTGTAGGCTCGATGGTTGGAGGAAAAGGTCATACGGCAAGACCAAATCAAAGCAATTCAAGAGTCTATAGCCGGATTTTTTAATGACCAGGTCATCGATTTTAAGGGCGTGTTCTATTTCGACCCAACACTGCCATGGAAGCCAAGCTAGAGGATGAGAGGAAACTTGTTATATCACAACAACTGTAATGCAATCTTTTGTAATATATGCACATGAAATAATATAATGTAAAATACACATATGCATGCATGCATGTAAATATATATATGATGCATGCATGCATATATATATATTTCTATGCTTGAATTGTGTGATTTAATACGTTCATTGTGCTTGAACCGAAACATACTATACGCGCATATAAATGTATTATTAGCAGCGTACAATACGACTTCGAAAACCTATTTTGAAAACAAAACAAAAAAATGAAAAGAAAAAAAAACATTTAGTCCCGGTTCGTATTACCAACCGGGACTAAAGGGTGCCGGCCTCGTGGCATGTCAGGAGGCACCTTTAGTCCCGCTTGGTGTTACCCACCGGGACTAAAGGTCCCCCTTTAGTCCCGGTTCCTGACCCGGGACTAAAGGACCCCCCTTTAGTCCCAGATGCTTGCTCCCGGGTGGGGAACCGGGACTAGAGGGGGTTCCCCACCGGGAGTAAAGGCCGTCTCTATACTAGTGGGCCAAAAATTAGTCATCTAAGAATTAGCCCATACCAGTCTCGAGGCTAGAGGTTGAATGGTGGAGAGGATGGAGGTAGTTGGAGGAGGCAGTGTGGCGCTGAAGTAGGAGGCTATGGCAACAAGCGCTCTCTCGCCCCAAAGGAGCACAACACTGGGGGTGGAGGCGACGACCTGGCATTCGTGGATGGTGTAGACTAAGCCAGTGATGGCTTGCATGGTTTAGGGCCTGTTTTGATCCTAGGGCTAAAATTAGCCCACCTTATGAAAAATGGATTAAGCATGAGCTAATCATAGGCTAATAAAGGATAATGGGCTGTAACCACCAATTAGCCCATATTTAGGATTTTTAATTGGTATATAAAAACATGGACTAATTATTATCTTCCTGGTCCAAACACCCCTTAGAGCGTGCACACGGTGAAGGTGCTCACATTCACACCATCTTCGACGGCTCTTATGCCTCCGGTGCCTAGGTCACTGGCTTCGAGTTGCTTTCATCAGTGGCGCCAAGCTCCTCAATGGGCTAGGGTGTGGCCATAGTGTCGGGTCAGCTAGATCGAAGGCAGCACGCGGCAGCCGGTTTGAAGTCCTGGGTGAGCAGATTGACGATGACGCGGAGCGAGTATGGTGCCGTGTATGAGGTCAAAGGGGTAGGAGAGAGAATAAAGTGGAGGGCAGGTTGGTCTTCAACTTCAACATGTGTTAGCCCCGTTTATAGATCCTCCTCCCCCATCGACTAACGATCTAAAACAATTAGTCCCGCTGCTAGCTAAAAATTAGCTACGGTTTTAGTCCCTCCACTAGATCCCAAATGGCTAAAAATTAGCCACAATGTAACACCATGTTTTATAAATAAAACCAAGGAATGAGTATATGCGGGCCCAGGAAGTCTCAAAACCACATATATTTACAAATTGTATTAATATCAACACAAGTGCAACGTTTACAGCTTTATTACATTACATTATTGTAGCTCAAAAGCTTAACATAGCGGAAGCGTCTCTATATCTGGGCTCCACTCCACTGGGACTCTGACCGGTGGCACCCTCAACCTAGATCTTTGGAAGCTCCTCATATGCTCCACCATCTGGCACCCATCGGAGATTTTGTTGAACAACGACAAGTGTGAGCACATACTCAGCAAGTATAACTATGGGGATGCAAGGCTCAGAGGCTTGACACGGGTTACTCCGGTCATCATTTTAGTTGATCATATTTTATTTTATACCTGAGTTGCTAACTTAGTGAGAAAACCCATTCCCATGTGACAAGTAATTATAGCATCAGTATTAAAGATATTTCCCATCCATCCACATATTTGGCTATACAAAAAGGATCCACGTCGCTCATGTCCGTGAGCATGGCTGTTATAACAAATTAGAGAACTCTGCAGAGTTTGGACAACATTACCCCCGAGTCGTGATTCCCAAATGCCAGGGTTTGCAAGGCCCACATCACCTCTTCCAAGGAAGTGCGACAGGGTTTCACTACATAGCCTTTCACTAGCTAATTACCCTAACAAATTAGTAGCCGCGAGGTTTCAATAGCAAGTGTATATGGATGCTCTCCTCCCAAGTGGCATACATGACCACAGCCCTATACTCACTTGGGTAGGACAAGAGCCATATCCAACATGGCACCCCCTCTTGCACCTTTTGGTAAACACAAACAAGTTAGAGACAACTAGTTACACGAGCCTATATTATCCTCAAGGTTGTACGGGTATCCTAGGTTGCCTCTTTAAGTGACGGTCCTTACAGAGAGTAATTGGAGCATAAAAGACCCCATGCTCCAGCCTCCTTCTTACCAAGTTGCTAAAAACAACTTTTATTCATTGTGTCATATATCCATTAGTCAATTTTGCAGTTAAGCATTTGTTGAGTGTAGCAAAACTATCCTTCTATTATGCAAAAACCAACATGGGTAACAAGGATATATAGATCAAGTATATCTAGGCATGTCCGTATGGTATACCAAATTTAGACACATGCATATGAATAAAAGTGATTAAAGTTGTTGGGTAACAAGGGAAACTATAGGCTATACTTGCATTGCTCACAAGCTTGATCCTGACCATGGTCTTCAAAATTTATTTGGATTAGATTTATTGTTTAGCCCATAAACAAACAGCCCCATGGTCTAAAGTTTATTTGGCTAAAGTTAAGGACTTAAACTTTAGCGAACTGTATTTTAGACTATGGGATTCAAACATGCCCTAAACCACCGGTGATAGTAAGCTTAATAAGTTCCAAAAGAAAATGCAAGCAGTGCCTATACCGAAACATGTCTTATTGCCGGTTCCTTTTGGATGTACCAGTAAGCACTAAAGTTTTGCCGGTAAATGAAGGTGTGATCTCCATGTGTTGGAGGTCCACTGCACGGCTGCCAGCAGTGCCTTCCTCCTCATGTCGACCTGGATCATCCATATGTCTTGGTCCTTGTGGGCCCTGGTTACCTTAAAGCACACGACGTCGGGGTTGTCCAAGCTCACGATGGGGGACTGTAGGTGCCCGCGAGGGAGGCCCTCGTACCCCGGCATCGCCCAGAGCTCCTCACAGTCGAGCACGCTGTCCTTCATCCATGCCACCGGCTCGTCCATGGTCGGGGTCAGTGTCCACGTGGTCACCGTGAAGGCAAAGCGGGAGCGCGCGCACGAGCTCCTCCCAAGGCATCCGCAGTAGCAGTGGGGTTCGATGGCGACGAACCTCACAGCGCCTGGGCCAGCAGCGCCCATGCCCTTCGTATCACTAATGGGAGGCAGGTCATTGGTGTAGTAGCTTGGATCATAGTACACAGGGAGACATACGTGCCTCAGCTTGGGTCTCGCCTCTTCCGCCCTGTCGCATAGGACGAGGCCTTTATCAAAGCTGACCCAGCATAGGAACCTGTCACCCACAGGGATGGTCATGTCGGGCCCCCCATCAGCTCATCGCCTTCTTCACGAAGGATGGGCACTGCACGCTTGAGCTCCCTCGTACTCGCTCCTCCCGAAATGAAGAACACAAAGGTTGGCCATGTCTGGATGGTCGTCATGGTGCCTGGTGTCAAGCTGAGCCACCAGGAGGTCGTCTTCTCCTCGTCGCAGGACGCCAGTGTCCTCATCCAGCAGGAAGCGAGGGCAGCCGTACTTCCTGGGAAAGCTCAGGCATGGGAACTAGAGTCAGCGACGGCGGCCTCGTGCCGGTGCCTGCCCTATACACGAAATGATCGAACGTGGGTGGCACCACGCGGCCATCGACCAAAGTACGCCGCCGCCTAGGCATCATTCGCAAGACTATGGAGTCGCTATGGGCTGCCATGACAGCAACACTACTAGAGAACAGACTTTAGAACAATGTCCCAATTTGGCTTTAGCCTCGGCATTTTTTGCCCCCGGGACTAGAGAGGCCTTTAGTCCCGGTTGGTGTCTCCAACCGGGACTAAAGGTCCCTGCCCAACGGCTATTATTGCGCCAAGGCATGTGGTAGGGGACCTTTAGTCCCGCTTGAGACACCAACCGGGACTAAAGGTGACCTTTAGTCCGGTTGGAGCCACCAACCGAGACTAAAAGTCCTCCAACCTTTAGTCCCAATTAGTAATACCAACCTAGACTAAAGGTAGACCCTTTAGTCTCGGTTGGTAACACCAACCTGCACTAAAGGACCCTTTAGTCCCTAAGTTGGTACACAGTCCCCGATGGGTTAGTTTAAAAGGAAAGCATCCCATCCATTGTTAGATGTGTTGTGTAGGTGGGGTGGTAAGCTATGCGCTGAGGCGGTGCATGAGGTCTTGGGTTCAAATCTCACTGGGCGCAATGGTGGGAGGCATTATTTTTTTAAAGTGGGAGGATCTTTAGTCCCGGTTTGGCAAACGGGACTAAAGAACAACACCTTTAGTCCCGGATTGCTAGTCCCGGTTGGGAAACCGAGAGTAGAGCTAGTTCCCAACCAGGACTAGATCTCATTTCTGTAGTAGTGCAAGTTCAAGGTTGTTCTTGTCATCGAGCACCGCACCCACGTAATCGTGAAAGGAGGAAGGAGATCTGGCGGCGCGCCGCAAGGCGGAACAAGAGGCGCAAATGGTGCTGCCCCGTGTGAAGAGGTGCAGGACTCGCTAGGGTTTTGTTGTCACGCAGCAGCCAAGGAGTCATCGTCTCTCGGACGACCCTACAGTAGATTGCCGCATGATTCAGTGAGAACTCAGCTTGGGTCTTTGGCGGCGGTGGCCGTCGGAGAATCATCATCGATGGCTCCCTTGGCTGGCCCAACATGGGACGAGATTGTTAGAATAAACTACTGCTTCCTTGTGTGAACATATAGCAAGGGAAGGCGGCGTCGAAAAGGCCCCCCTGTGCAGTGGTATCAGAGTCAGCCAGAGAGGCAAGCGCTGAATGGCTCACCGCCACACATCAGTAGCCATATATGCGTGAACAGTAGCGCAGAAGTCGGGCCCCTTTGTGTTATCTAATTATTGTTGCAAAGATGTGCGCCTGTACTAGGACTAGATAGATAGAGTTGTATAAATAGACTACCACGGCAACTCAGTAAAGAGAGTTTAGATTTGCCATCTCCCATACAGGGCTTATGCTCTGTTCTCCCTCTTCTTCAACCTTTAGCCATAGTGTGTGGGAACGGACAACGCTTATTCGTGGTCAGCTTAGCTAGTGGGTGCTCGGCAACACTAGCGGGTGCTCGGGAAGACCGGTGAGTGGTTCACTCACTTAAGCCGGTTATCCTGTGGGCTAACAAGTGGTATCAGAGCCGTACAAGCATCGTTGCTAGACTAACTGCTGGCGATGACGGACGGTTTGGAAATGGGCGACAGTAGTGGTACTGCTGTGGCTGCCCAACCACAACTGGAGGTCGTTGTTTGCATGGTGCGGGAGGTCAACGGCACCAGTTGGCCGATGCTGACTCGCACCAACTATGGAGAGTGGTCGGTGACCATGAAGGTCAAGCTCAGAGCCCGATGGCTCTGGAATGCTGTTGACAAGGGCACGGACAATGAGAAAGATGACATGTCAGCGTTGGAAGCTATCCTCGCTGTTGTACTGGTGGAGTACAGGGAGCCGTTGGGGGCAAAGAGCTCTGCTAAGGAGGCGTGGGAGGCTATTGCGGCGATGCACGCCGATTCTAACCGCACAAAGAAGGCGACGACCCAGCTTCTAAAGCAGGAGTATGCCAACCTCAAGTTCAAGGATGGTGAAACGGTGGAGGACTTCTCCCTCTGCCTGCAAACACTCATTAGCAAGTTGAAGAGCCATGGCGTCACCATCGACGAAGAGGAGATGGTCTCCAAGTACCTCCACTCCGTGCCGGCAAAGTACATCTAGATCGCTCTCTCCATAGAGACGATGCTGGACTTATCCACCCTCACCATTGAGGATGTGACATGCCGTCTATGGGCGGTGGATGAGCACCTAGAGCAGGCGACAGCAACGAAGGACAATGGCAAACCATCTGCGACGGAAGAGGTGGGCAGCTCAGAGAAATCCGGGAAGGCAGCCTCCTTCAACCGCGGTGGCGATGATGGCAAGCGCCATGCGGCAAGGCTTCTTCGGAGAAGAAGAAGCGGTCGACCCCAACGCTTCTTTGGCCATGGGAAGATGGGCCATTAGGCATGGGAGTGCCCAAATTGCAAGCAGGAGAAGAAGGCTGAGGCTCATCTGGCGCAAGCCGATGATGATGATGCCACTATCCTGATGGCGACGTTCTGTGCACTGCACGACATCAAGGTCGAGGAGAAGGAAGAGGCGACGATGGTGGAAGGACCTAGGAAGGCCCTAAAGACTGTCAACCTCAACGAACCGCGTGCCCAAGTCCACCTCGGATGTGTGGGCACCGACTAGGAGCAGCGGTGGTATCTGGACTCTGGTGCCAGCAACCATATGACGGGCTCCAAGGAATCCTTCTCCGAGCTCGACGACGATGTTACCGGTACGGTGAAGTTTGGTGATGGCTCAAGGGTGGCTATCCAAGGGCGCGGCACCATCATCTTCAGGTGCCAGAATGGGGAGCACCGCACGCTAAAGGATGTATATTACATCTAGCAGCTGCGTTCCAGCATCATCAGCATTGGTCAGCTGGATGAGCGCGGTAGCGAGGTACTGATCAAGGACGAAGTCCTTAGGATCAGGGACCGGGAGCAGCGACTTCTCGCCAAGGTGAAGAGGTCCCTGAACCAGTTGTACCTGCTCGACCTAAAGGTAGAGCAGCCAGTGTGCCTGGCGGCAAGGCACACCAAGGAACTATGGATGTGGCATGCCTAGTTCAGACATCTCAGCTTCGACACGCTTGGTCGGCTGGAGAAGATGGTCCGAGGGCTACCCCACATCAAGCACAGAGGCGAGCTGTGTGACAGCTGCCTGGCTGGGAAGCAGAGGAGGCTACCATTCCCAAAGGCGACCAAGTATCGCGTGAAGGACACTCTCGAGCTTGTCCACGGCGACCTCTGTGGGCCGATCAAGCTAGCTACAAACGGTGGTCGGCGGTAGTTCCTCCTGCTCATGGATGATTGCAATCGCTACATGTGGCTGCAACTCCTGAGGAGCAAGGATGAAGCGGCGGCGGCGATCAAGAAGTTCAAGATGCGTGCAGAGGCCAAGAGGGGCAAGAAGCTCCACGTGCTGAGGACTGATCATGGCGGCGAATTCACTTCGGTGGAGTTCGCTGCATACTGTGCGGATCAGGGTGTGGTGCGACACCACACCGCACCGTACTTGCCACAACAGAATGGCGTGGAGGAGAGACAGAACTAGACGGTGGTCGGCATGGCCCGATCCATGATGAAGGCCAAAGGCATGCCGGCAAAGTTCTGGGGTGAGGCGGTGAACACGACGGTGTTCATCCTCAACCGTGCTCTGACCAAGGCCCTGACGGGCAAGACGCCGTTTGAAGCTTGGTATGGGCATAAGCCGAGCGTGTCCTTCCTCCAGACATTCGGCTGCATCAGCCTTGTGAGGAAGACGAAGCTGATCCTCACCAAGCTGGAGGACAGGAGAACACCAATGGTGTTCCTGGGCTACACGGAGGGTACCAAGGCATACCGACTCTATGACCCACGAGGAGACAAGGTACTTGTCTCATGCGACGTCGTGTTCGACGAGAAGGCAGCTTGGGACTAGACCAGTCCGAGCACGGGGGAAGCTAGCGGCCTCACTAGCACCTTCGTCGTCGAGCACTTGATCATCCATGGTGGTGGAGATGCTGGGCAAGAGGTGCCAAGCACTCTGGGAGGAGTGCCGAGCACTCCAGCGGTAGAGCCGAGCACTCCTGGGGCAGTGCCGAGCAGTTCGGGAGGGATGCCGAGCACGCCAGGAGTGGCGTCGGGAGGTTCTGCAGTGGTGGCGACCACTCTAGGACGGGTGCCGAGCACTCCCATGGCGAAGCCAAGAGGTCTTGTAGTGGTGCCGACCGGTCCAAGACTGAGGCTAAGCACTCCTACAGTGGTGCCAAGCACTGTAGGAGTAGTGATGAGCTATCTAGAAGTAGTGTCGAGCACTGCAACTAGGGTGCCGAGCACTCCAGGTGCTGTGCCGAGCACTCCGGCGGAACATGGAACTCCATCAACACTGATCGAGTTCGCCTCACCTCCAAGTGACATCACTGAGTTCGTGGATGCCTTCCACGAAGGTGAGGAGGTGCGGTTCCACCGGCTGGACAACATCGTCGGTGGCACAGGGCCCTCAGGCCTGGCTGGTCGGCTGTTCAATGATCAAGAGCTGCTGCTCGTCAGTGCTGAGGAACCACCAACGTTCACGCTGGCCGAGCGCGATGGAAACTGGCGATGGGCGATGCTGGAGGAGATGAAGGTGATCGAGGAAAACGAGACATTGCAGCTCGTCGATCCACCTCCAGGATGCCGTCCGCTCAGCCTGAAGTGGGTGTACAAGGTCAAACGGGATGAGCTTGGTGCCATTGTCAAGCATAA